GCCGAGGTGGGTGGATCACTGGAGGTCAGGAGTTGGAGACCAGCCTGGCCCACAAGGCGAAACCCTGTCTCTACTAAAAATACAAAAATTAGCTGGGTGTGGTGGCACATGCCTGTAGTCCTAGCTACTCAGTAGGTGGAGGCAGGAGAATTTCTTGAACTCCACGTAGACAGAGATTGCAGTGAGTGGAGACTGACACTGCACTTCAGCCTGGCCAACAGAGTGACACTTCGTCTCAGGGGAAAAAAAAAATATATATATATATATATATATATACACACACACACACACACACACACACACACACACACACACACGTATAGAGTATTTAGAATGAAATCTTCAAAAATTGTGCAGGACCCAGTCACTGAAAAACAAAAAGCATTATTAAGAGAAATCAAAGGCGACCCATATCAATGGAGAGACATACGTTGTTCCTGTGGCAAAAGAATGCTGAGGTGTCAGTTTTCCCCATATTGATCTATAGAGTAAGGAAAATACGAGTTAAACTCAGAGGGAACACATGCAGTCATTGAAAAACCTCATTTTAAAATGTCTGTGGAAATACCAAGGACCTAAGATAACTAAGTAATCTTTGAAAAAATGGAACAAAGTTGGAGGATTAACATTGCTAGATTTTCAGATTTATGAAGCTGCATTAATCACGACAGCATGGTAGTAGTGTTAAGGTAGATCAACAGATCCCTATATCAATGGTCCAGAGATACACTCACAGCAGCAACTGATTCTTGATAAAGATGTTGATGGAGTTCATTGCAGAAAGCACCTTTTTTTCAACAAATGGTGCTGGAACAACTGAATGTCCATCATAAGCAATAAATAAACTTTGAAAAATTTTATTTTTATTTTTTTTAGACAGGGTATTGCTCCGTTGCCCAGTTCACTGCAACCACTGTCTGTCTCTCGGGTTCAAGCGATTCTCCTCACCCTCCTGAGTAGCTGGGACTACAGGCGCGTGCCACCATGTCTTGCTAATTTTTGTATTTTTTAGTAGAGATGGGGTTTTACTATGTTGGCCAGGCTCATTTTGAACTGCTGACCTCAATCTGCTCACCTCAGCCTGCCAAAGCACTGGGATTACAGGCGTGAGCCACCACACCCAGACAAGAAATGAACTTTGATCCAAACCTTTCACCGTATACAGAAACCAACTGAAAATCAACCATAAACCTACATGTAAAATCCCAAATTGTAAAACTTATTTTAAAAAGGAGAAAATTTTTGTAACCTTGGATCAGGCAGAGATTTCTTAGATACAAAATCAGTAGCACAATCCATTAAAGAAAAATTTGATAAACTGGACTTTTTCCAAATGAAAAACTTCTATACAAAAGACACTGTTAAGAGCATAAAGAGATGAGTCATGTACTAGAAGAAATGTTTCAAAATTTTATATCAGATAAAGAAATTGTATCCAGAATATAGAAAAAATTCTCTACTGCAAACACCCTATTAAGAATTGGCCAAAGATTCAAACACCACCAAAGCTGATACAGAACTGTCAAATAAGCTTAAGATCTTTAAACCATGTGAAGTGTTGGCAAAGATGTGGAGAAAATAGAGAAAATGGAACTACACTGCTGGTGGAAACGTACAATATTACAACCGTTTTGGAAACAGTTTGGCAGTTTCTTCATAAAGCTAAAGATAACCTATCACATTCTGCTCCTAGGTATTTACCCAGGAAAAATTAAAATTTATGTTCATACAAAGATTTGTACACAGATATTTACAGAAGCCTTATTTATAGTCATCAAAATGGAAAACAACCCAAATATCTCTCAGTGGGTGAATGGAAAAACAAATTGTGGTATATCCACACAGTGGAATTCTCCTCTAATAACAAGGAATGAACTGCTGATTCAAGAACCTACATGGTTGAATCTCAAAATAATTATGCTGAGTGAATGAAGACAGATAAAAAGGAATACATACTATATGATTTTACCTAAATAAAATTTTAAAAAATGCAAACAACTCATAGTGACAGAAAGATGATCAGTTGTTGTGGGGGGCCATGGTGAGGTGGCCTTGACCGGCAGGAAGGATCCCTGGATATTCTGGAATTTTTATCCTGGATATAAAGGTAGTTCAGGAAACTTCTCAAAGTCTGGATATGTTTATTATCTCAATGGGGTTGATGGCTTCACCAGTGTATACATATGTCAAAATGTATCAAAATTTACATATTAAATATGTGCAGTTTATTGTCAATGATATCTTAATAAAGCTGTTAACATTTTTTTCAGTAATGTAGTTATGATTCATTCGTAATTTTTTTTCACAAATCCATATAAAATGATTTGTATTGCTATTTATGACATTTAACTATTCCATAGCAAGAGAAATGTCACTTTATTTCTCTTCTTTTAGTCATTAATTTAGCAAACATTTAAAGTGCCAGACAGTGCTGGAGAAACAAAGATAAAGCTTTGTAATTAATGGGGGTAGAGAACTAGTGTTAATATTGAGTACCCACTCTCTCTCTCTTTCTTTTCTTTCACGGAGTTTCGCCTCTGGTCTGGAACTCTTGACCTCAGGTGATCCACCCAAAGTGCTGGGATTACAAGCGTGAGCCACGGTGCCCAGGCCACACCTGCAGAGTCCCGAGGGGAGTGGAAAAATCCGAACTCTTTCTGAGGAAGTCAATGAAGGCTTTGCTATTGAGGCTATGTTGTCTGATATGCAGCAGAGACTCTGTAATATTCAGACTTTTAAGGGAGTGATTATTGACAACTCAAGGGCAAGTTATGTATTATCTGGCAGAAGTAATGTTTTCTTATTCATTGCTCCTGTAGTACTTCGCTTATGTGGCTAATTTGTAACTCCATACTTCAGTGAGTTGTATTTTTGCTTGTAATGGACAATTACAGTGGAATGGAAGCTGCCATTTGTATTTTAATAACACATTTTTTTTTTTTTTTTTTTTTTTTTTGGAGACGGAGTCTCACTCTGTTGCCAGGCGGAGTGCAGTGGCACGGTCTCGGATCACTGCAATCTCTGCCTCCTGGGTTCAAGTGATCCTCCTACCTCAGCCTCCTGATTAGCTGGGACTACAGGCACGCACTACCATGCCTAGCTAATTTTTGTATTTTTTAGTAGAGAAGGGGTTTCACCATGTTGGCCAGGATGGTCTCCATCTTTTGACCTCGTGATCTGGTATCTCAGCCTCCCAAAGTGCTGGAATTACAAGAGTGAGCCACCACACCTGGACAATAACAATATTTTTAAGCACTTACTATAATTTGTGATAAATCCTCTTATATGGACAAATTATTATTCAGAGCTTGCGAGTTAGTATTACTATCTCCGTTTTACAAAGAAACAGGCTGCATGCCGGGCGCGGTGGCTCAAGCCTGTAATCCCAGCACTTTGGGAGGCCGAGGCGGGTGGATCACGAGGTCGAGAGATCGAGACCATCCTGGTCAACATAGTGAAACCCCGTCTCTACTAAAAATACAAAAAACTAGCTGGGTGTGGTGGCGCGTGCCTGTAATCCCAGCTACTCAGGAGGCTGAGGCAGGAGAATTGCTTGAACCCAGGAGGCGGAGGTTGCGGTGAGCCGAGATCACGCCATTGCACTCCAGCCTGGGTAACAAGAGCGAAACTCTGTCTCAAAAAAAAAAAAAAAAAAAAAAAAAAAAGAAACAGGCTGCAATATAAAAATTACCTAAAGGTGTAAAATAATAAAATCACTTAAGCCATATAAAATTAGCAACTATATTTTTCTGTAAAATTTTATCTTGGAGCTACCTTAAACAACTATTTTTGTAGTCAAACACATTCAAACGCATGAATAAATTACGTTCCAAGCTACTTACAAATATAAACTAAATTTGGATTACTCTTATTTCCTTCTATTGTGGATCGCAAAAGCTGAGTAAGCTTTTAATTATCTCTAGAATTCGACATTTGCCTTTGATGTGAAGTATCATATGAAAAACACAAGCTAAGACTGAAGTGGTTTGTTCAGTATGATAATGAGGTTGGTTTTTTATATAGCATTATTAATTTTATGTTCTAAGAAATGAGGACATTTAACAGTAGATAATAGAGTCATGCGTCAACAACATTCATCATTACCAACCAAGGCCTGTGATATGCCTAAAAAGCTATATTTAATACTCCCAATGTTACACACAATTATGTGTTCAATGAATGTTCAGTGAATCCTTTATGATGTTGATAAATATCGTTTACATATCTAAAGTCTTTTACATAGCTAAGGGCAAATCGCTGTTTACTAGAGATACTTATGTGATGCCAAGCGGAGTGAATACACGAAGTCGTAAACTGTATGAAAGCAGGTGACCTATTATAGCCAGGGTCTCAATTTAATAATACATGCCAGTTTAAAAATAGCCTTATTTCCTCCTCTAAAGTTTTAACTTTTTTTTTTTTTTTTAGGTAAGGTCTCACTTTATCGCCCAGGCTGGAGTGGAGAAGCCCGATCTAAGCTCACGGCAGCCTCAACCGCCCGCGACTGTAGCTGGGACTACAGGGGTGCGACACGGGGCCGGCTAATGTTTGTATTTTTTGTACAAACGGAGGCTCATTCTGTTGTTCAGGCTGGTCTCCAACCCCTGGGTTCAAGCGATCCGTCCTCCTGGGCTTCCCAAAGTGCTGGGATTACAGGCACCGCACCGGCCTCGGCTAATTTTAATACCACCTTAACACAGGTTTGTTGAATGCCCGCTGTATGCCTAAAGATCAAAGTTTGATAAAACAAGGTCCCTGCTCTTACTGAGCACATGGCTTTCTCAGATTATCAGTAACCAAATTTGGAAAATAACCCAGAACGCTGCCGTAGGTCCAGGATCCCCGCGTGTTAACATTCCGTCCACAGCAGTCAGTTCTAGGCGGCCGGGTTTCCCCTTGCCCCTCCGGCCCCCAGCCTCTGGGTGGGGACACGCCCAAACTCTTCCCTCCCTACGTCCCGCCACGCTCAAGAGTGCGCATGCGCTCTCAGGGAGGCGGGCAGTGACCCAGACGCTGTCGCGCGGTGCACAGAAAAGACGTCGCGCGTGCGCAGGCGCTCGGCGTAGAGGCCTGCCGGAAGCTAAGATGGCGCAGAGGTGTTCTCCAGGCCGCCGCTGGCGCCGTATCAGTATCTAAGCGGAGTGTATTGGAAGGAGTTAAGGGGCTGTGACAAACGCCCTCTCAGCCGTCATGGCCCGGCATCGGAATGTTCGAGGTTATAACTACGATGAAGGTAGGTGGCAGGGTCATGCCGGGACGTTCTTTCCGCGGTTCCAGCTGGGATCCTAGCCCGTTGGCATCCACTTCCATCTGAGTTTCTCGTCAGTGCTGCCCTGTCAGAATTGGGAGAGCCTCAGTTGGGGAAAATAACAGGACTTCTAGTGCCGCCAAATGCCTTTGTTTTTAAGTCATGATTTCTGCCCTGTGGGGTTGATTTTATTTGGGGAGGGGGAGGTGCTGCCTAGCGTCCTGTGGGTAGGACATTGGTGAGGTTGGGATCGTTGGTATTTAGGCACGTAAGCATTATCACCGCTTGTATTGTTTCCTCCCAGGTCGGTCACTCACGTGCCTGTTTCTTGCTCCTCTCCCCCAAAACCCCTTGAGAAATGTCCATGAAACGTCGCTTATTTGTAAAACACAGATCAACTTAATGCTTACATTCAACGGACGTGTATTTGTGTTAGATTTACATGATAAATCTTTTGTGTATATCCATACGTACTTAGTGCAGAACCAGTTTGCGCTAATTTATTTTTCAATGAATTTCAGAGTGGAAACTTAGGAGACAGTGGAAGACACATATTAAAAAGGTCCAGAGAGTAAGTTGATCAGATGATCGTGAAGTTTATACTCAGTTTTTGGCTAGTAATGCTTGATATGAATGTATTCTGAAATGTAAATAAATGACAGTACTAGAGGAAAGAGTGTATGGGAAAAGATTTTTTGTTATTAAAAAATGAAATAAAAGAAAAATATCGGTATGAATGTTCTGTAGGAGTTCCCAGGAGTTAGAATTCGTTTTAGGAGGAGCACATCCCTCTTCATGCAGTGGATAACTATAGGCATCACCAAGCATCACATAAACTAAAAATATAAACAAATATGAACTAATACAGAAGAAGAAGAAAGATCTATACTGTGCAAAGTGCAGAGCATGTAGTGCTTAATATGTTGGTGGGTGTCACTGGCACTCCCAGTCGATTATTATAGAACATCAGTGTGCTCTAACTATAGTGAGGGCAGCGAACACTGCTCTCCATTTGGAACCTGTGACCCCAGTCCGTCCGGAACATGCGAATTTTCTGGTGGTTACTTTAGAATGGAGGCCCTTTTAAATAAGTATTGCGGCGGATGGCATTGCATGTGGACCATTGTCACCTAAGAAATGACTTTAGACTGAGAGATACTTTTGCAAATATAAAGTACATGAATAGGCCTAAGTAGTATTCATACATTTCTTTAATAGTTGTTTATCATTTCCTCAACCACCATTAATTTAGTGCTTAGAATACTGTTCTAAGATGTGGGGACTGACAGTAAGGTATTTGAGGGTAGTCTAAAAGGAGATTATACCAGTTACACATGATTAGAGTATGAAAAACGCCACAAAAAGCACGGACAAAAAGCTACGGGAGGGATACACAGACGAGAACACTAAATTCAGAATGGACTGGGGGATAAGCAGGATTTCTATGTGAGGAATGCTCCATGGAGGAGAGGTGCTTGGCCTGAGGGATCACCTTGGCTGCTTGAGGTCAGGTTGTCATGCTTCTTTGGAACAATTGGTGACATCATAACCAAGCTGTTCCTGTAACATTGAGGAGGTTCATCTTTTTTTCTTGTTTATAAAACTTTTACTTATCATCAAGGTCCAGGTTATTTCTCTTCTTCCCAGTTAGGCTTTCTCTTGAATTCTCAGAGTAATAATTTAAAAATTGTCTGAAGTAATATAACCTCATTAGAGAGAGTTTGTGTTCTAAAACCTACTGGTTCCTTTACTTAATTCCCACTTTGTTTTTCTCCGTAATTTATATAATACTTTGCATGACTGCCTTAGTTGCTGATTTAAAAGTCCCAAGAAGGCAAAATCCATACTTTTAAGTAGCTGACACAGTGTTCTTTACATGTAGTAAATACTCCATAATTTTGTTGATTGAGGAAACGAACTACAAAGATTGTAGGAAAGAATTCTCTTCATCTTTTTATGTTGTGGCACTTTAGGGTCAACTTCAGCACTGACAAACTGATCTAGTAAAAAAGAGCCTTTTTTTTTTTTTTTTTTCCCCTTTTAAGAGTGAGGATCTCACTGTGTTGCCCAAGCTGGAGTGCAGTGGCTTGATCATAGCTCTCTGTGACCTCTAACTCCTGGGCTCAAGCAATCCTCCTGCCTCAGCCTCCAGAGTAGCTAGGCCTAAAGGCATGTGCCACCATGCCCGGTTAATTTTTTGTTTTAGTGGAGACAGCATCTCACTATGTTGTGCAGGCAGGTCTCAAATTCCTGGGTCAAGCGAGATCCTCCCTCCCTGGCTTCCCAAAGTGTTGGAATTACAGGTGTGAGCCACCATGCCTGGCCTATTGCTGTCTTCAGTATCTAAAAATATTTTGTTTATGAATGACCCCTTGTTTATTTGCAAATAAAGTTTTTTAACTTCAGATTATGATCTAATAATTTATTTAATCTTATACGTTTTTTGCCCAGTAGTAGCATTTACCTAATTTTTCTTTGCCATAAGCATTTGGTCTCAGCCTTTGAGCATGCTGTTCCTGCTGTATGAATAACCTCAGAAACTAGCTAACTCTATCCTTTGGAATTGTTTTGGGTATTATATTCCTGGGGCTATTTTTCCTAGCCACCCCACTCCCAGTTCTAGTTTTGTTGTTCATGTGTGTATTCCCAAATTGCTCTGTGTTTCTCATGTCAGGCACTTGTCACATGGTTTTGTAATTGCCCATTTTCTTGTGTGTATTCCTTGTCAGATTTTAGGTGTGGCTGGATATGTGGATAACTGGGAAAGAGTTCACTGTTATACCACGGTTGTCTCAACTCCTCCCTGGCATGGCGTTAATGTTTGTCAAATGAAATTTATGTAAATATACTTACATTCTTTGTGTGTTTTTAGTTGTAATTAATTTGATTTATTAATTTATAATAAAACAAATATTAATTTAGTGCCACATCGTGCCAGGTAGTTGTCTAAATCAAGTCTTGCCCTGGAAGCTGATAGTCTCATGGAGTGAACAGGTGTAGTGCTTTGAAGACATCCTGTAAATTGGAGAAGTATGCTGGAGGGTGACAGTGGCAGAGGGGTTTACTACTTTACCCAGAGTGGTCAGGGAAGACTTGTGCAAAGAGGAGACATTTGAGCTGGAATGTTAGCAGAAAGAAATGGCCTTAGGAAAATCTAGGCAAAGAGCATATCCCAGGAAGCAGGAAAAAAAAAAAAAAGGAGCAGTTAGCCATCAACGGGTGAGCGCAGGGTGTTTAGGGTAAATTGGTTTGTATAGATGTTACCTAGCTCTCCATGAAGAAATATTACTTTCATGATCTATTGTATACCCCCATATTAGCTCTGTGGAAGAAAAATGCTTTGGTTATAGAGGGCATTGGGTGAAGAAAAAGGAGAACCATCCAAGTGTTTTTTTTCCTTTTTTGAGACGTAGTCTCTGTCACCCAGGCTGGAGTGCAGTTGCATGACCTTGGCTCACTGTAACCTCTGCCTCCTGCGTTCAAGCAGGAGCCTGCCGCAGCCTCCTAAGTAACCGGGATTACAGGCACATGGCGTCACACCCTGCTAATTTTTGTATTTTCAGTAGAGATGGGGTTTCACCATCTAGGTCAGACTGGTCTCGAACTCTTGACCTTGTGATCTGCCTGCCTTGGCCTCCCAAATTACTGGGATTACAGTTGTGAGCCACTGTGCCCGGCCTCAGGTATGTTTTTTTTTTTTTTTTTTTTTTTTTTTTTTTTTTTTTTTTTTTTGAGACGGAGTTTCGCTCTTGTTACCCAGGCTGGAGTGCAATGGCGCGATCTCGGCTCACCGCAACCTCCGCCTCCTGGGCTCAGGCAATTCTCCTGCCTCAGCCTCCTAAGTAGCTGGGATTACAGTCACGCACCACCACGCCCAGCTAGTTTTTTGTATTTTTAGTAGAGACGGGGTTTCACCATGTTGACCAGGATGGTCTCGATCTTTTGACCTCGTGATCCACCCGCCTCGGCCTCCCAAAGTGCTGGGATTACAGGCTTGAGCCACCGCGCCCGGCTCAGGTATGTTTTTTATAGGCTTATATTATATTTTGATCACATGAGGTGAAAACTTGGGACTTGGGGAAAACAGAAACCCAATTAACAACTGAAGATACGTGTATGTCTTTATAAATATAGAGGTAGTAAATACCTATTTTGTGGGTGAAATTCTTAGAATTTTTTTGAAAATAGACATTCCAGATTCCTTAAATTTTGATAAACAGTTTATTTTGGAGAGGATTCAGATGCTTCCTCACTAATAACTAAGAATATAAAAAGAACTTGTAAATGAATTTATCTTTTTTGTCTTTATTTTAGATTTTGAAGATGATGATCTCTATGGCCAATCTGTAGAGGATGATTATTGTATTTCGCCATCAACAGGTGAATTTTTAGAAATAATTTGATTCCTTTGATTTGGTGTTTAAACACATAAATGTTATGGTCATTCAAAGACTAGAGTGTTCGGTAAGACTGTAATATGTAACATTTAAAAAGATAATTGTATGTCAGTTTTTAAAGGCAAATAAAATAATTTCCTTACCTGTGAGTAGAACTTAAAGTTATGATTCTATTATTTAGTTTTAAACAATATGAAAAAGACTGTGGCTTTTTTTTCCCAACATTCTTTGCATCATGCAGTTAATCTGAAAGTGCTAAAATGGTAATTTAGTCAGTAATGAATTTCTGAAGCCTCTGGAGGCAGGTAGCCATTATCTCCCCAAGGATCTTTGAGTATTAGAAACATGAAGGTGTTGTGCAAAGACTTTCCTTTATGTAAGACTTTATCTGTTATTAAACAGTTTGGTACATAAACCAAATGTAGTTCAGACTTCTTTTGGAGCCACAGAGGGATTTGGCATTCCTATTTATGTATGATTCCACATCAGAGCTGCATCTTCTAGATTATTAGCCCAAAGATTTCTTCTCTGCCACCATACATGGAAAACATTCATGTATTCTTTCCAGCAAAGACTGAGTCATTAATCCTGATCTTTCTCTCACTTATTTCCCTAACACTATATTTGTATTCAGATTTCAGCCTACTGTCTATACAGGTTAAAATGCCCTGCTAAGTTTTAGTGTGTATAGACCAGGTGTGGTGGCTCATGCCTGTAATCTCAGCACTCTGGGAGGCTGAGGTGGGTGGATCACCTGAGGTCAGGAGTTCAAGACCAGGCTGGGCAACATGGTAAAACCCTGTCTCTACTAAAAATACAAAAATTAGCCGGGCCTGGTGGTGAGTGCCTATAATCCCAGCTACTCAGGAGGCTGAGGCAGGAGAATTGCTTGAGCTCAGGAGGCTGAGGTTGCAGTGAGCCGAGATTGTGCCATTGCACTTGAGTCTGGGCAACAGGAGTGAAACTCCATCTCAAAAAATGAAAAAAAAAATTTTTTGGTATGGTATAATTTACCTCTAGTTGGGTATAGCATAAAAGTAATTCAAAAAATTAATTTTTCACAAGTTTAAATAGTTAATATATGAACATTTCTTTCTTTTCTTTCTTTTTTTTTTTTTTTTTTTTGAGAGGAGTGTTGCTCTGTCTCCCAGGCTGGAGTGCAGTGGCATGATCTTGGCTCACTGCAACTTCTGTCTTCTGGGTTCAAGCAATTCTGCCTCAGCCTCCCGAATAGCTGGGACTATAGGCATGCACCACCACACCTGGCTATTTTTTAAAAAATATTTTTAGCTGAGACAGTGTTTCACTATGTTGCTTAGGCTGGCTTGAACTCCTGACCTCAACTGATCTGCCTGTCTTGGCCTGCCAAAGTGCTGGGATTAGAGGCATGAGCCACTTGCCTAGCCCTAATTATTAGAGGCATGAACCACTCGGCTAGCCCCCATTTCTTCCAGAACCTTCTGCCATGGTCTGAATGTTTGTGTTTCCCTCAGATTTACATGTTGAAATCCTAACCCCCAAGGTAATGATATTAGGAGGTGAGGCCCTTGGGGGGTGGTTAGGCCATGAGGGTAAAGTGTTCATAAATGGGACTAGTATCCTAATAAATGAGGTTCCAAGGAAAACTCTTGCCCTTCTAATCATGTTAGGACACAGCAAATAGGTGCTGTCTGTGAGCCAGAAAGCAGACCTTCATCAGACACAGACTCTGCTTTGATTTTGGACTTTCCAGCCTCTGAACTGTCACATATTTCTGTTTATAAGGTGCCTAGTTTATGGCATTTTTTTATAGCAGCCTGAATGGACTAAGACATCCTCCTTGTCTTAATTACCCTGTAGTCTGCTGGGCTATCGTGTGAACTGTACCTGCTTTAATCCCATTTTTAGCCTCTGTAGACCAACTATATCCCTTCTGACTTTAATAATTTATTTTTCTTTATAAATGCATAGGTATGATAGAAGTTTCTTTATTGTATCTACTCCTATCTGTCATCTTTTTCCTGTTGACCGGTTATTCTGAAATGCATCTAGCTCTTTATAGACCTGTTCTTCTGGTCAAGTACTTCCTTATATCTGCTCTTTCTGTCACCTTTTTCCTGTTAACTGGTTATTCTGAAATGCATCTAGCTCTTTATTTATAGGCCTGCTCTTCTGGCCAAGTACTTTTCTCATTTAGCTTAATCATATTTTTTCCTCTCATCTTTTTTAATGTTTCACTGTTACCAGTACATATTCTGTTAGGAGATAAAAATTGCACCAGTTATTTTATCAGAGAGCATTTAACATAAAAAGTTGTTAACCAGGTATTATAGAACAAAGAATGCAAAAAGTACAACCAGGATATCAAGAAGGTCAAATTGCAGGTAAATTCAGGAAGCACTTTACTGTCCCTAGTTCTTAGGGGAACAAATGGCAGGGTTGAAACCACCTTTAGAAACTGGTGTAAACTCCTTGGAGCTGGGACTTGGATCTTGAGGAAAGGGTTCTTTGCTGCTTTGCCTCTGAAGTTCACAAGCGGGACTCTGGAGCCAGGACTCAGACCTCTGGGCAGGGAGATACTGCATGGCTGATGCTAGTGCCTCAGAAGGTCCCTGAATCTTCTTGGAGCTTGAATTCAGCTTTTAAAGAGGGAATTCCAACCACCTGGCTGGTAGTGGTGTCTGTGGAGTGAAGAGGCAAGTTGAAGCTGGTTCTGGGAGTTTTGGAAAAACTGAAAATGGATATTAATTGCTGTTACTGGAACAAACTGCTTCTGGAAGGTGAAGTGAGTATTGCTGGGGTGATGCTGGAACAGGAAGCAAAAAGGAAGGAGCATGTGGCTGCCTTCTCTGGCTTTCCTGTGTCCCTTTAGTATCTCCTTATTGGCTGATCGTAAAAGGGAGCCAGGTATGGAAGAAGAAATGTGCTTTGCGGTGACTTCAATCTAGCATCACAAAGCCGAGTAAAGGGTGGTGGTGGGTCAGAAGCTAAGAGATGGCTTAATAAGCAGCATTCCTTTACAGATCCTTATTCAGGATTTGAAAGAGAAGACATAGTGATTCAGGAACAAAACAATTTCACATTTTTCTAGGAACTCCAAGGCATTTGCCCTTTGCGGCTGCTATAATTCGGCATCATAGTTGACTAGGTAGCTTACATATTAGAGGTGACAAAGTGATGTCTGGTAGTGCTATCCTCATCACTCACATTCTAAGCACATTAGAGAGCATGGCATATTCATGGAACTGGTTATATTAGATTTGAGTTAAATATCTCTAATATATGGATAATGAATTAAAGGTGGTATATGAGTGGATGTAAATAGACTTGTTAGGAGACTATTATATGTATTTATCTAGAGGAGATGAGGCTATTTTAGGACAGTGTTCTCAAAGTGTGGTCCCTGAACCATCAGCATCACTTGAGAGTTTGTTAGAAATGCAATGTTGGGGGCTCTGCCCAAGAGTCAGAAGCTGGGAGTGAGGCACAGCAGATGTTTTAACAAGCCCACTGGGGTACGCTCATGGTATGCATTGAGAACCGCTTGTTTAGGGCAAGAGTGGTAGCATTGGATTTGAAAATACATTCAAGAGAAAATTTATAGGAGTTGTGGTCTACAGGACTTGGAAGTTGTTGAGTATGGCTTTGTGTAAGTGTGGAATCTTTCACAGAGCTGGGGATTACTGAAAGACACCTTAATATTGCACGTTAACACAGTCATTTATCTAGGCTTCTCTGGATAAATAATATTTTATCTTGAATAATAAGCTAACAGTACACAAGGTCAGACTTTCAAAGGGTGTTTCTCTGAGATTTGCATTTATGACCTAGCTTTCTTGAGAACAGGGTCAGAGTTTATCCATGTGTCTCTCATAGCTTTTGATGTGGCTCTTGCATGTGGTTTGTATTCGGGGCAGTCTGACTCTGAGAGTTACTTTTTGTACAAATACCAAGAAGTCAACTGATATTATCAAAGCAGGAGATAGTTAAATGTTTTTGAGTTTCTTCTGTGACAAACTGGTATTTTTAACAAAAGCATACGACTTTGGATTTCTTGAAATTTTCTGTTTCAAAGCATTTTAAAAATAGCAGTAACATCAGATAAGAAACTTAATTTCCTCTTAATGGTCTATTTTCCAAGTAATTTTCAATAAAAAATTGAATAGTTTTAGAAGAATATTTTCTATTCTTAAAGAAGCAGCCAATGTCATTGAAAAGCTGATTACATTCATGGTGTAATGAAGTCTGATAATTGAATGACTTTACCAATGAATTGAAATTTCCATCAGATTCATCAGCATATGTGTATTTTTGAATTCAATTAAGCCCAGTTTTCCTGGTCTCACTATGTTGCCCAGGCTTGTCTTGAACTCTTGAGCTCAAGTGATCCTCCTGCCTCGGCCTCCCAAAGTGCCAGGATTATAAATATGAGCCACTACGCCCAGCCTAAGATGGTGATTTTTAAATGTTAACTTTTCTTTCTTTCAGAAAGGTTGACTTTGATACTGAGTATTGAACCTATGTCCAAGAGTGGGGATAGCAAAAAGAGTTTGTATATAAAACTTTATTTGAATGATGATGTATTGTTTCAACTAATATGATTAGAAGTTGCTCTACTCTAATTTCAAACCTTTATTGTATATTCATTTTTTTGAAAGAAAAACCCTATTCTAGTAAGTTTATAAATTAGTTTGGTATAAGGAAGCTTGTTTTAAAGTCTTGTTCAAATAACTTGCTACAGCAGTATGGTGGGTAAAGAAAATAACTGTGACTGAAGGAGTCTGGGAAGGCTTCTGGAAGGAGTTGGGATTGGAGCTAGTGAATTTGGAAGTAAGAATGGCATCCCAGCCAGAGGAAACAATGTTGCCTAAGCGATGACCTGTAAATGAGGCTTGTTTCATCAGACTGGCAGGATTAATGCAAGTGGTGGGAGGAAGGAAGGCTAGGAAAGAAAATAGGAACCAAATTGTGAAAGACAGTTTTAAATTTTGTGTGTTTAGTGGCAACTTATTGGAGTTTTTTGAGTAGGGAGCTAGTACTTTGTGCAGATAACCGATCATGGTCCACAAAGTGGCGTATAGGTGGGACAGAAGAAAGTGGCGGAGACTTGTAGGTCACCAGTATCTCCTGATCTTTCCTTGTGATATTCATCAGCTGGCAATAATTCCCTTATTTATTTTTTATTTTTTTGAGACTGAGTCTCGTTCTTTAGCCTCGGCTATAGTGCAGTGGCAATTCTCATTCCTCAGCCTCCCAAGTAGCTGGGATTGCAGGCACCCGCCACCATGCCCAGCTAATTTTTATATTTTTAGTAGAGATGGGGTTTCGCCATGTTGGCCAGGCTGGTGTCAAACTCCTGATCTCAGGTGATCTACTTGCCTGGGCCTCCCAAAGTGCTGGGATTACAGGCATTAGCCACTGTGACCAGCCGGATTAATTCTTAACACAAATTTCCTGCTTCATTCCAGCACCACTGAATCATAATCTCCAGGGGAAGATGCCTAGAAAGCTGTATTTTTAATGAATGCTACACTTGATTTTTATTTTAAGATGTTTAGGAAACAATTTTAGGAAGTTTCAGGTGTTAGGTTTTGAATTATTTGCACTTTTTTATGTTTGTCAAAATAAATTTAAAAAATTAGTATAGGTGTCCATTTTTTCAGAAAGTACTTCCATCAAAGTTTGTGATTTAAAATTTTAGAGAATAACATTTTGTATTTTTCATTTTCTCACCATTACTTTTCTCTCACTCCATTACTTGTTGTATTTGTTGCTTTTGGGGCAGTCAGTACAACTTCAGAGGTTTCGACCACTCCCCGCCTCACCCACCTACTTTTTAAAAGTAATGGCAAAACCTGAAGTTTTGTACCAACCCAATATTTCTTCTGGGGGAGTTTTCTTACTCTTTTTCCCTCCCTGGCAAATCCAACCATTACTACTTCCAAAACAGTGGCCACAGTATACGTTTCTGCATTGGAGTTATGTATGGGGTGTATGTGGTGGTACAGGACAACCCCCAACCCCATCACGAAGAAAAAGTAGCTCCTAGGAGGCAGAGGAGGAGCCTGTACATTGAAAACTTGCTCTTCCCTGTTATTATTTCCTGAGTGAAATTTGTTGAGGGAAACATCTGATTTCATGTCTCATTTAATTTTTTTTTTTTGGTCTTAGGTTTCTCCCTCATAGTTCTTGGATGTGAGGAGAAGTTGGGGAAGTATGTTTGTTACTTTTAGGCTAAACTGAATACAGTGTATTAAAGCCAGGAAAGCACCATGCACAAAATGGCCTCATTTATACCATATTTTTTAAAACTAAAATGCTATAAATTGGAAGGTGTATCATTATTTTAAGGACCACTTTAAAACAAAAGGCTATCAGTCTAAGTATTATGTAATGCTAAGATGTCATTTGATTGAAAGACACATCTCTAATTCTGAGATTTGTAATGTGAAAAAAAGTGGTTCTTTTAGAGAATTTATGAGATAGGAAGTGTCTTCTGCTATTTAGCCATGCTGACTTTATACCAATAATGTTACCTCCTTGCACAAGAGGGGGAAAATAGGGATGTGTGCGTGTGTGTGTGTGTGTGTGTGTACGCACAACATAATGTACATTCTTAAACTCTGTGGTCTTCAGAATTATATACTAAAAATAACATCTTATGGGAAAAATAGGACCAGGACAGACCACTCAACCTATAGAGTGCTAACAAAACCAATAATCATCATAATAAAATGCTTACACATTTGAAAAGATTCATTGATTTCTTAATAACTACTCCAGTAAATACAGGATGAAAAAAGGTGAAAGCTTGACAGGAGATGTAAGAAAGGGTTGAAACTAAAGAGTCATGTTGCAAAGGCCCAATGCCCACAGACCTTGGAGAGCCAAGCAGTAAGGGCTCTCCAGACAGGGCACATGTCCAAACTGAGCCAAGGGGAAGAATGTGGACATTCTTCTATGTAACATTACAATACAGTTACACTTAAAATATAATATTCCACTGCAGTTCATGTTATCGAGCTTTATGCAACCATTGAAGTACTGGGAGAAAAATTTCATAAAGCATTCTCAATGTTACGCTTTCATCATTCTTTATACCCATTGATATGTGCTAATTTGTCTTAAGGAAACACGCATTATAGTAGAATGGATTGAATTATCTCAACTGCTCTTTATTAATATTTCTCTTCCTCTGTCCTTGTTCAAGATCTCTTTCACCTCTTCAAGTTTCTCTGTATTCCTACCTCCTTTATTATAATGCGTCAGTCTTCATTGGTTACTCCTATGCTTCCACAGTGCTTGTTGTCTGTATTACTCATTTGGCTTTTAAAATAAATCATTACATTTTTCTTCTTTGTCTTGCCTGCTAATTTGTCAGGCCATTGGCTTTATTTATTTATTTTTTGAGACAGAGTCTTGCTCTATCACTAGGCTGGAGTGCAGTGGCGCGATCTCAGCTCACTGCAACTTCTGTTTCCCAGTTTCAAGCAATTCTGCCTCAGCCTCCTGAGTAGCTGGGACTACAGGCACGCACCACCACGCCTGGCTAATTTTTTGTATGTTTAGTAGAGACGGGGTTTAACCATGTTGGCCAGGATGGTCTCGATCTCTTGACCTCATGATCCACCCGCCTTGGCCTCCCAAAGTGCTGCGATTACAGACGTGAGCCACAGCACCCAGCACTGGCCATTGACTTTTACAATGAAGAGAGAATGCTTATTAACCTTCTGAGCACAGGTGTTACACATACACTGCAGCTTTATGTTCTGTGCCTTATTTATAAATTTTGATTTCTTTTTCTCTACCCCCCCATGTGATCATATGTCTATACATTTTGAATGTAGCTTCCCTTAATAAATATCTTCCCGATGACCTATACACAAGTCAATGGAATTAACATGTTTCGTGCTCTTATAGAAAGCTAGATAATACCTTGCCTTTTGAATATCATATCTATATTTCTGTCCTTCTTAACATATTCTTTAATTTTGTTCCTTTACAATTGAACACAGTCTCCAGGATTAAGTTCAGTAGCCATCCAATAGAGCTGGAAGCATTAGTACTTTGCATATATCTGTGATTTTCTCCTTTGCTCACTTGTATTTCATTTAAGATACTCAGGCGTGTATTGGCACTTTGATAATCTGCCTTTTCTTTCCTTGATTTTACACACACACACACACACACACACACACACACACACACCTGCACGCAGTTATATATTGAGTGATGATATTGGCAGTATTGCAGAGTAGCACAGACGTCTGAAAGTTAAAGTTAGGTATATGACACTAGTTTACAGTGTCAGTGTGTGATTGGAAGTGTATAACTGAAAGCCTGAGTTGTTTAAAGATTAAAGTTTGTATTTTTCATGAACTCTTCGATTCAGGCAAAATCAGCACTTTTTGGAAAGTGAAAATTAACATTGTGTTTTCTTTTCTTCTTCTCTTTATTTTTTTGAGACAGAGTTTTACTCTTGTCACCCAGGCTGGAGTGCAGTGGTGCAATCTCAGTCACTGCAACCTCCGCCTCCAGTAGCTGGGATTACTGGTGCCCACCACCACGCCCAGCTAATTTTTATATTTTAGGTAGAGATGGGATTTCAACATGTTGGCCAGGCAGGTCTTGGACTCCTGACTTCAGGTGATCCACCCACCTCAGCCTCCCAAAGTGCTGAGATTACAGGGATGAGCCACGGCATCTGGCCACCTTGTGTTTTCTTCATTATGCAAATTAGAAGTTTGATATTTGGTTTGAAATATTTGTATCAAAGAAGAGAACATTTCAAGGGACATAGAATAGTATACAAAGAAGAGGTATTAGGAAAGGTGGATTTTGGAAACCATGAAGAAAGTAGGCTGAGTGGAATGGTTTCAGAGATTGGGGGAAAGAAGGAAGATTATAAGAGATTAATAAGTAGTAAGCACATTCGAGTAGGATTTTGGGTATATGTTTTGGTATGGTTTTTTTTGTTTTCATTTCTAATGAAATGTGGGTAACTATAGGTCATTGATCAGAAATTTTTTTTTAACTTTAGCTTTTATAAAAAAAGTTAATAGGAAATGGCTATACCATAGTGTTCTTTGATCATTTTATATTCTAGCTGCTCAGTTTATTTATTCACGGCGTGACAAACCTTCCATTGAGCCTGTAGAAGAATATGATTATGAAGATTTGAAAGAATCTTCCAATTCTGTTTCGAATCGTCAACTCAGTGGATTTGATCAAGGTATAGCAAAAAGTAGTGTATCTGTGTTTCTTATCTGAAAAATGATTAATAACCAAATACACCAGAATGTATCAGTTTTATTGTGATTGTTTATAACAGTGACTGGGAACAGTAATGATGTAAACATGTCTTTCATATTCAAGGAAAATTTATGTTTTATTAAGTATGTTTTGTGAGGAATGTATTTAACTATGATTGGAAAATTGTATGGCTGTTGTTTAGTAACTGGAATTTTAATTGAACTATCCCATTAAAAAATTTTTTTTGAGGGAGAGAAACTCCAGTGATTTACTAAAAAGAACTTTTTGAGTTGATTTAATTGTTTAGTAAGCTGTATGTGGAGCTTATGATTAGAATATATAAACTGTTTTACTTACAAAGATGTTAAGTTCAAAAGCTTTGAAGAAAACAGTTGAAGTCTAAAGTACACTGTATAAGTGTCCTCAGGATTTACATCTATGTGAATTAAGTTTCAAGATAGAACTTGGTAATGACACTTGTTCTGAGTTTGCGTATTTTCAGCTCTTTTAAACATTTTAATGATGATATTTATATTTTGGCTTTCTTCTTTTATAAATAAGTTTCAAACATGACATGGCTTCAAACATCACTCAAGCCATAGATTTGATAGCAGAACTAAAATGACCAGGTATAACAATAATGCCATTTGTTGATAGCATGGCTGAGTTGATTCAGTCTTTCTCTGGAGTGTGTTTTTGTTCTATAATTTTTTTTTTTTTTTTTGAGACAAAAGTTTCACTTTGTCACCTAGGCTGGAGTGCAATGGCGCAACCTCAGCTCACTGCCACCTCTGCCTCCCAGTTTCAAGGGATTTTCCTGCCTCATCCTTTTTGCCCCCAGAGTAGCTGGGTTTATGGGCCCTTGCCACCAAGCTGGGTAATTTTTGTATTTTTAGTAGTGACGGGGTTTCACCGTGTTGGCCAGGCTGGTCTTAGACTCCTGACCTCAAGTGATTCACCCACCTTAGCCTCCTAAAGGGCTGAGATTACAGGTGTGAGCCACTGTGATTGTTTTTGCATTGAAAATTTATAATATTTTTAAAACAGAAGAAATTATGAATCTGGGAATTGATCTTTGACTGGCTAATTTTTGTATTTTTAGTAGAGATGGGGTTTCACCATGTTCTCCAGGCTTGTTTTGAACTCCTGACTCAGGTGATCTATCTGCCTTGGCCTCTTAAAGTGCTGGGATTACAGGTGTGACCCACCATGCCCGGCCTTATAACCTCTACTTTTAACCCCTTCATTATACTGCCTCTTTGGGTGTGTATAGAAAATAGTTTCTCCAATTAGAAGAGGCCCTGATGCTAGCTATGCTAAGTATTTTGTTACAGTTTCTATAATTGATGTATTTATCAAATAAATATTATTTTCCCAGTATAGCTTATTAGCCTTTAAAAGTTAATTTTACACTGAAGCAAAGCAGAATTGCCCAAATATTTCAGGAATTTAATTTTAATAATTAAAGGGGCCAATGGAAAAAGTATTAAACACTTTTTTTTGTTTTAAAGAAAGGGTATTGCCAGTAGATATATAAACATGTACAATTAAATATAAATTGCATTCTATGAAATGGTTTTATGGACTAGGGAGTTTGAAAACCTCAGTTCTATTTTGTTTATTGCTAACTTCATAGTGTCATGATTTTCAATCTTACCTTTATTAAGTTAGAATTTGCCTGATATATCTACCTCATAGAGTTATTATGAGGATGACAAAAGAAATATACCTAAAAGCATTGTGAAAATTGTCAAGTGCTATACAAATATAAAGGAATATATCATTCATTTTTATTCATTGGCCCCTAGTTACCTGTTACTGTTTTAGGTTCAAGGGATACAAAGCCTCTCTGCTGTTAGGGATTTTACATTATTGGTAAGTATTACTAATAAATACTTTTTATAATTATGTCATCATCAGAAAATTAAAATTCCTAAACAGCGTAGATAATTCCAGACTTAATTTTTTTGTTTTATAAATGAATGCTGGCTGGGCGTGGTGGCTCACACTTGTAATCCCAGCACTTTGGGAGGCCGAGGCAGGTGGATCACCTGAGGTCAGGAGTTTGAGACCAGCCTGACCAGCATGGTAAAACCCATTTCTACTAAAAATACAAAAATTAGCCAGGCCTGGTGGCAGGTGCCTGTAATCCTAGCTACTTAGGAGGCTAGGGTGAGAGAATTGCTTGAACTTGGAGGTGGAGGTTGCAGTGAACTGAGACCACACCACTGCGCCCCAGCCTGGGCAACAGAGACTCTGTCTTAAAAAAAAAAAAGAATGCCTATTCTCCTCTTAATCTGTTGGACTTTCTTATTTTTATGGCATGATTATATTACGTTATCTTGCTGTTTCTAAAAGAGTCATTAAGGATTATTTTAGTTGACTGGTAAGAACTGAAGTTAGCCAAAAAGGAAACTTAAGGTAACAGCTTGAGAAATATAAGAAATATACTTTGTGAGTAGTTGGGTTCACTAACAAATTAGAAATAGTTCCACAGTCACCCCTCGCTTTGTGTACATGCAAAAAATGATCAGTGCAGATACCATCATTATCGTTGACTGAAAATAGATACTAGTGTACACTTAGCAATACACACTTTTTTCAAACACCTCAGGAGACATTTTCTTACAGTGATTTTTAAATTAATGAAATCATTGATAAGGGAAGGTGGGTAGATTATAGATAAAAATACGATCAATAGAAATAATTTTTGCCAAAGAGAAAGGAGAGTTGAATATTCTAGTACAGCTGTAAATTTTAAAATCAGTTTTGAAGATTAAAAGTTCTTTCGTGGCACCATTTAGTGTAGCTTTTCATCATTGTTGTCTTTTCTAGCTCGTCTTTATTCATGCCTTGATCACATGAGAGAGGTACTTGGAGATGCTGTGCCAGATGACATATTAATTGAAGCAGTTCTGAAGAACAAGTTTGATGTGCAGAAGGCTTTGTCAGGGGTTCTGGAACAAGACAATGTGCAGAATTTGAAGGACAAGAATGAGGGAACTGTATCTACAGGAAAGATAGCAAAAGGTATGCCTTTATTGCTTCTCTTTCAATTGTTTTACCTGGTTAATGCATAAAGAGAGGCTTTCATGTGCTTGAGCTTTTACGAAAAAATTTAATTTGCTTGAGCTATTGAGCTATTAAGAAAATCTTGCATATTACTGTTAACTTTTGATTATCAGTTGATCTTCTAGTTTGTGAATTTTTAGGATGAGTACTGTGTTTTCCATCTTCTGTTGTAGCCTGGTTTTTTTTGGTTATTTCACTACTTGAATTTGTTTTGTTTTGTTTTGTTTTTTGAGACAGTCTCACTCTGTCACCCAGGCTGGAGTGCAGTGGTGTGATCTTGCTCACAGCAACCTCCACCTCCTGGGTTCAAGTGATTACCCTCCCCTCAGCCTCCCAAGTAGCTAGAATTACAGGTGCATGCCACCATGCCTGGCTAATGTTTTTTGCTTTGTATTTTTAGTAGAGATGGGGTTTCACCATGTTGGCCAGGCTGTCCTTGAACTCCTGGCCTCAAATGATCTGCCCATCTTGACCTCCCAAAGTGTTTGGATTACAGGCGTGAGCCACTATACCCAGTCTCACTACTTGATTTTATAACTAACCAACATAGTGGAAATAAAATTAGATAAGACATCTTTTTCTTTTGTTAGTAGCTTACAGAACTTTTTAATTTTTTTTTTTTTTTAAACTCTAATGTGATAGGAAAAAGAAATTAACAGCCAGTCAATTATGTTAAAGAAAAATCCCTTTATCCTTTTACTATGTATAATTTTATTTTATTTAAATATCATTAGATATAAGTATTTTAATTACACTAGTTTGCATTTTATAGCCAGATATTTAATTTTAAATTTGTAAAATTTAGGGTTAAATTTGGAATTCAGTGGACATAAGAGGGGAACTGAGGTGGTACCACTATATTAATTGGCATACTATCTCTCAGTATGAGTATGGCGATTTGTTAACTATGTCAGTGTTGATTGTAAACTCTGGGCTAAATTTTTGCTGCAATAAGGCTGCATACAGCCTTGTTACCATGAAATAAGAGTGTGTTTTGGGGGGACGGTGGGCACACAGATGGGCACTTTTAACTGGCTCTGATGGGAATGAGTCTGGAATATGTCATCTTGTATTGATAGTGTATACAACATTGTGGTAGAAATTACCGGGGGTTATTTTGCTTATTTTTTTCTAATACATTAAAGTACAGAAGAAAATGAACCTAGTTTTTCCTGTTTTTTTTTTTTTTTAAAGAAGTTTTTGAATTTGAGACAATCCTGACTATAATTTAATTATGGTTAAAACCTCACATTTTTAAATTCATGAAAATTAGAACATTGATTGACTTGATACTTACATTGTATATGTCAGTGAACAGAGTATAAAGGTTACTTTAAATTGCTAAAGGAAGGTAATATTCCCTTATTGTGTTTTGGAGTATTCACTTAATGTTAAGTAATGATCAAGTATCACTTTATTCATGTCATAATCAAAAGAAGCATTTAGTAATTAAATGCCTCATTTCATGTTTCCTTTTGGTTGCTGTGACTGTCTTCTTCGTATATCAACCTATTCATCTGAAAATTAATGGCTCTTGTAAGGTAAGGAGTCTTATTTTCTTCTGAAGTTTCAGCTGATAATGGTCAAAGCTCTTATCCTCAGTCAGCAAATCATTTGGATTATAGTAGCAAACACTTTGATTTTTCTAGCTCAGTAGGAAAATATGGATTATCTCTTAATTCTTCAGTTCCAAGTCACTGTTTGCTCCATAGAAAAAAGCAACTTGGCAGGCTTAAAAGTGAAAAGAAACTAGAATCATGTAAGTTAACAAAAGAACTTTCACTAGCTGACCTAATTCATGATATATCAAGAGATTCCTGTGAAAGTCAGCCGTCAGTCAGATTATCATCTACAGATAGTCTGGAAAGCCTACTTTCAAAGAAACTAGATGCTGATTTGTTGAGACCTCATGCATCTGAATGTGTTTCCAAAGATGATTCTGCATTCAAAGAAGTACCAGATTTAAAGTCCATAATGATAAAGAGCACAACACCAAATAATTCTTTATATATGCAAAATAATTCACTATCTGATTTTCAAAACATTCCAGTACACGATAGTTTAGGAAGTTCAAATAATCCTTTGTACTTAACTAGCTCATTGGAAAATATGACTGTTGATAATTTAAATGCTAGTAAAAAAACTGAAGTTGGAAGTAAAAAAACTGAAGCCAAGAATTACATTTTAAAAAATGACAATTTGCAAGTTTCTCAATGTGAAAGTCCATCCCTAACTGAACTGTTTCAAGAACACAAAGAAAGCAATATAAACCCGTGCTTTACTTTATCTGATCTTTGTAACCAGTCATCTGCCAGTTTCACAGATCTAAGTTTGGGATCTTTTCCCTTGTCACAATTAGCAAATCGCTGTCAGTCTTCACCTGGAATATCAGAATTAACAGGATCTCTGTCATCATTGGCATTTCATAAAGCTTCTCCCACAAGAGACCTTGAGAATTTGTCACTTTCTGAATTGATTGCAGAAACAATTGATATAGACAACTCTCAGATTAAGAAGGAGTCCTTTGAGGTCAGTTTATCGGAAGTTAGGTCTTCTGGAATAGATTCAAATATTGATCTTAGTGTGCTTATAAAAAACCCAGATGTTGTTCCAAAGCCTATAGTAGACCAATCGGTTGCTCCATCATCACGATCTAAAGTTCTAAGTTCAAAGCTAGGGAAGAATTCCAATTTTGCTAAGGATAATAGGAAAAACAATAAAGGCTCTCTGACTAGGAAACCACCTTTTTCTCTCTCTTGGACCAAGGCCCTTGCTGCTAGACCTTCAGCTTTTGCCACAACACTGTGTCTTCGTTACCCACTGAAAAGCTGCAAGCGACGCACCCTTAACCTCTATAAGACTTTTCTTTACAGTAGACAAGTTCAAGATGTAAAGGACAAAGAAATAAGTCCTCTTGTAGCGATAACACCATTTGACTTCAAATCTGCATCACCTGATGACATTGTAAAAGCTAATCAAAAAAAAGCGTTTACTAGAGAATAGTAACACAAGGAAAACTCGATTGCTGTTGTAGAGCTTTTTATTTTTAATTAAAGTCTTCAGAGGATCACTTTATATTATGGGATTCAAATTGTGATTTTTATGAAAATTGTTATAGGTCAGTTGATTAGTTGATACATATTTTTGCACTGAATTTTTTTTTTAACTACGTCTTCTTTTAGTGATAACTGGCTTTATTTAAGTTGGTAACCTATACTGAGTATATGTTTACAAAGTGGATATGGAAACTTGATGTTGTGAAATCAGACCTCAGATATTTCTGTTTGAAGCATTCAATTTTCTATGTTTTTTATGATGAAATATTTTTTTTCTATGAAATATTTTTGTACTTTGTTCTTAAACGAAAATGCCAGCACTTGGGATTATTATAGTTTAGTTGTGAAGATTATTCTGATGCGACGCAGCATAGCGGAGACATTATATTTTAAAATAGGATGTAATTCTTATTTTTCTGTAGATAAATACTAAAATTTTTCTATTAGGAAGTCCTAAAATTCCTGACTTTTGAGAGCACTGTGGAGATTGTTGAAATACATTTTTGATGATAATAAAATGAAAATCTTTTAAGGGACCATGTAAATAGAGAAGTTGGATTAATATGTGAATTATTTTTATACATTTTTAAAACCATTTGTCCTGAATATACACTTTAAAATAAATAAATATATAAAAAGTGTTTTCAAGTATGGTTGCATGTTCTTTGAATGGAGAATTTTACCAGATCTCTTTAACTTGTTCTTTTTTTTTTTTTGAGACAGACTCACTCTGTCGCCAGGCTGGAGTGCAGTAGTGCGATCTTGGTTCACTGCAACCTCCGCCTCTCAGGTTCAAGCGGTTCTCGTGCCTCAGCCTCTTGTGTAGCTTGGACTACAGGCACACACCACCATACCCAGCTAATTTTTGTATTTTTAGTAGAGATGGGGTTTCACCACGTTGGCCAGGATGGTCTCGAGCTCTTGACCTCCTGATCCACCGCCTCAGCCTCCTAAAGTGCTGAAATTACAGGGATAAGCCACTGCACCTGGCTTAACTTGTTCTTTACAATAAGTAATGGAATGTGGAGCTTTCCTTTTTGCTTCTGACAGCTGTGTGTCCCACAGTGACAAAGTTTCAGCAATGGAGGATCAGTAAGAGCTTTTTTAATCAGTAGAGTAAGTATGTAATTCATCCCTTAAAGCAGTGGTTCTCAACTAGCAATCAGAATCACTGGAGGAATTATTTCAGAACACAGATACTGTATCTTTATTCCATACATGCTTAAGCAGTCTCTGAGGAATGGCACTTGGGAATGTGTATTTTCAAAATTATACCCCCAAATGATGTGTATTTCTGTCCGAGAACCACTCCCTTAAAGGGAGAAATGAGTAGAATGGAGTTGCCAATGCTAAGAATAACGTCTGACCAACTTGAAAGAATAATTTCTAGAAATCAGGGATACCAAGGAAAAATGCTACTTAGGAAGTATGGCTTTTTGCACAAAATGATACAGATAGTAGTAGTAGTATTTGCAAAAATATAATACAGTAGTATCTAAAATATTATTTTATTGTTATTATTTTTTGAGACGGAGTCTCACTCTGTTCCCCAGGCTGGAGTGCAGTGGCGCAATCTCAGCACAACCTCCACCTCTCAGGTTCAAGCAGTTCTTCTGTCTCAGCCCCCCTGTAGCTGGGATTATAGGCACACCCCACCACACCTGGCTAATTTCTGTACTTTTAATAGAGATGAGGTTTCACCATGTTGGCTATGCTGGTCTCGAACTCCTGACCTCAGGTGATCTGCCCACTGTGGCCTCCCAAAGTGCTGGGATTACAGGTGTGAGCTACCACGCCTGGCCAAATAATACTTTTTTTTTTTCCTCTGGCAGCTACTTCCCTGTGCATTTGATAATTTTTTTTGTATTATTTTGTTTCTGTTTATTTTCAGAATGGCATTCC